AGCACCTACCCTTTTCAATTGATATCGTCTGCTCAAGTTCGGCGAACCGCGTAGATCAAGTTTAGAGTACTTCTTGATGACAATCCTTCCTATTATCATGATTAAGACTATGACACTCGGGACAATTATCACCGTCAATGTTATGTTTATGGCTTTTATTTTATCAATGTTTTGTAGTACAGTTGGTACTGTAGAAGAAATAAAACGATAAAAAGTTGACTAAAGATAGCACAACGATACGTACATTAGTTTTGACTAGAAGGTGGAATGCTCGTATGTTGATATTGGATTTTTTGTACAATAAAAGATCAGCGTTTCGCATCAATCAGTGATTGTTTCCACCAATTACAGGAACGCGTTTGCTTATCATGAACCAAAGTCGGGAGTTACTCTGAGTCAGGCCTGAAGTTATAAAATATGGTTCTGGAAAGAACTTCATTGTCTTAATGGTACTCTGTGTTGTTTCAATAATGAAATTTACAAACGATACTAATAATTATGGCACAATTATGAGATAATAATTATCAAATAATAAGAGTATAATATTTAACATTTTTAGTTAAATTAATGTTTCCTTAATCTAAACAATAGGCCTATATATATTTATTCCATTTCATTTTCATTAGCGCTAATTAAGGTTTCCAACTAATTAATAAGTTTGATAAATTGCAAAACTCACATATCGTTACAATGTCCTGTAGCTCACAGACGGGGTAATCTCGTTGGGCCCACTCTCCTCTTAGCTTCGACGAATTCACTATGTTTACAGCGGCAACATTAGTGGTTAGTGCTGTTCCTTCGGTGACATTGTTACAATCTGTAGGTATTACGATCCGCGTGTTTGTTGTATTCTGGTAAAACCAACCCCGCTCGTGAAATCGACTGCGAACGGTGTAGTAGTTTATTGGTCCATTGGGCTCCGAAGGAATTGTCCATTCCAAATTCAAGGAGTTTGATTCCGAGACTGCTGACATGTTACTAACAATACCTGGAACTGTAATGATATTATACCTTATTGTTTCGATGTACTGTAATTATTACATTCATTTAACAATAGTTGAACCCTTGATGGTTAAAATACTTGCCTTCCAATCTATGATCGTTGGTAAATTTCCTGTCTCACACAAAGCAATCCAACGTTGATGTACTGTGTGTTGAACTTGTTTTTAGTTTATATGAACGGTTTTGGAAAATTCCGAAAATTAAATTAAAATAATATCAATTAAGTTAATTGACATGCACCACGTGTACATAGTAATCATTAGAAGGATGAAGGACTTAATTTATAGCATTTTAATTTGCTATTGCTATAAATATTTATACCATTGGCGGATTCAAGAGGGTGGAAGGGTGGGGTGCAGCCTGCCCGGGCCCCCTAATTTTTTCCAATATTTAAAAAAATATTGAAAAAAAAAAAGAAAATTCGACTCTAAGTGTGCCATTTTCGACCATCTAGAGGTGCCATACTCATAAAGTTTCTTACCGCAGCCCCAACCGTGGTGGGGCTGAGGTAGTATAGGCCACCCATCTGTGAAAGTCCCACTCCGGGCCCCCTTTATTCTAAATTCCTGGATCCGCCACTACAGAATATATTTTAAGTGTTTTTAATGTATTAAAAGTCATTTTTTGGTCATTTATTAATCTTTTCAAGTTAACACCAATTGTGATTGGTTTAACAACGAATTTAACAAATATTTTTATGAGCCTACACAACGGCCTTTACGTCATTACTTACCCCCAGGTAAAGTTGCCGCTGTACTGACAAGTGACCAAGGCCCCCATTCCGCCGACTCTATTTTGCTTGCCATTCGAATTTCATAGTCAGTATATTCCTCAAGTGACGTCAGCCAACAAGTTTTTTCTTTGATTTCTGATGTATTTGGAGGCTGGTATAATAATAATAACAATAATAACAAAATATTAATAATAATAATAATAACGATGATGATGATGATGATAATAACAATAATAATTGATAATAATAACTAGACTTACTATGTCTGTTTGAACAACAGAACATAGGGCTTTTCCCTATTGCCTTAATGAGAAATGTAGTCGAAATTGCAACAAAAAGAAAAGTCGTTGAAAGGTTTAAAGTTAAAAAAAAACCCCGGAAAACCAATATAATTTTAATGAAATGAAAAAAACCCCAAAAAACGAAAGCTAAGTTCACTACGAAGTTATTAGAGATACTTGAACTATGGCTGCAATGGTAATAGCGAGGTACATCGTGACTCATAACCAATTCAATGACTGAAAGCAAACATTTTTCATGTATATCACGGTAGTTTTGATTTTAACCTAGCTGTAACCTGTTTAAGCGCTTTCGAACACGCAAATTGGTTTAAATAATTTAATCAAATGTCAACAAAAAATCTTCAAATGGTCCTCATATACATACCCTACTGCGGATCGTCACCAAAATTGGATCATTTCTTTATTTTACCATGAAAAACTATTCTGAAAAGTGTCATTTTTATCCATCTACAACTGGGACGTAAGCAATTTAAATGACCCTCAAATGTACACCCTAATCTTGATCGTCCCCTACACATAATAAAATCTTCCTTGTAACTTGGGTTAAACTTCCAGAAAGTTTCATTCGGATCAGTTAACCCGTTTTTGAAATCTGGTCTGGGACGTTTTCCTTTAAATGGTCCTCATATTCACACCCTACGCCGGATCATTACAAAAATTCAGTCATTTCTTTACTGGACCTTTACAAACTATAAAGTTTCATTTACACCCATTGAAAACTTTTTATATTTACGTCTGGGATATCAAAAATTTAAATGACCCTCCAGTTTACAACCTTGACTGATTCGTCGCCAACACATAATACTATCTTCTTTGTGACTTGGTTAAACTTTTTCCGAATGTTTCATTCAGATCACTTGATCCACTTTCGAAATATGTGGTCTGGCACGTTTTCCTTTCAATGGTCCTCAGATCTACACCCTACTCCGGATCGTCAAAAAAAGTTAATTATTTCTTTACTCGACAAACTGTTATACAAGATTTAAATTATACCCAAACACGTCGTTTTTTTAATTGTTCTCTAATTTCTCCATTGTCTAATTTCCCATTAAGGTAGGTTTTAGTAACATAAAAATAACAATAAAAATAACAACAACAACAACAATAATAATAATGATAATTATAATAATAATAACAATCAACAATAACAACATCAACAATAACGATAATAATAACTTCACTCCTTAATGTGCTCAGTATCCGTGGATATATTACCCAAGATAAATAAAGTATAAAAAAAGAATAAATGTTTGACCCATAGGAGAACATTAGGTTTGTATTGAATAGACCAGCTTAAATAAAATGAAGTAGACATATAGCATGCACCTTGTATATAAATAGAAAGGGACCTTACTGTATTTTATAGCATACCTTTTTTTCTTTTTCGTGGCGTACCACCACATTTATTCAAAATAATCTTCATTAAACAAACATCAAAGTAGTACAATATTTCTTTACTATCATTATCATTTACTATCATTAATATGAGATAAAAAAAAAACATTTTATAGCATACCTTCTTCCATACTTGATCAGTATTTCCCTTGCGGTACTCAAGTCGGTATAGGAGTCTGCTTTCATAGTTAATTACATCGTTTGGTTTTTGCCACTTTACTTTGATACTTGTCGAAGTAATGGACGGGAACTGAATAGCAACTGGTGGATTTGCTCGTGCTGTGTGTGCGAGATATATAACACGGTATCAATAGTGTGAGTATACATAACATGAATGGAAATTTCGCAGAGCCACACAATCTGATAATAATTAGGTAAAGAACTTCAGTTTGTTTTGAATTAGAATGTTGTGATGATAGACCATGGAGTAATTAGTTCAGAAACTAATTCATCCAGGGATAAAACGAATTATGTACTTCACGTCGCTGTAAAACTATTGTGGTATATTATATATATATATATATATATCAGTTCTATATATATATATATATATATATATATATATATA